CACTCGTCTATGTGGCAAAAGTAGCGCGAAATCAAGCTGAACAATGAATTGGGTCCTAAGTTACATTGATCGATTCTCTTTCGTTAATAACTTGGGTATAGAACCGTCATGTTTGTCATAGCTTCTTTCATCGATATGTGTGCTGAAAATAGCTGGAAATGTCTTAACATGGCCGTGAGGATGCAAAGAGAAAGTCGACGAAGAGAATCTGTCAATGTTACTTAGGACCTAATGCATTGTTCAGCTTTAAATCTGTTAGTGATTATCAAAAGAGAAAGTCGATGGATAGAATCGATCAAAGCAGATAGGTCGTTTTGAAATGTTCATCTAAGTTTCCTGGACGTACACTGAAACAAATCGACATGTACCGTTTACTGGATCCATCTTATAACATAGCAATGTCAGCAGATTTATTCATTCTATGTGATGATTGATAGATTTTATTGTATTATCACTTTAAAACTATGACTGCGATATGGAATGATTTCTATCGTAATTTCACATACTTTGTACTTGATAATACTTTGCTTCGAACGTGGTTAGCGATAGGTAAAAAGTATATGAATATTGTCTGATATATTTCATGGTGAAAAATTGTTGATATGTCATGTTGATATATGTGGGAACAGACATCTAGAAAGTAATGGAAAATCATATAAGTTTGCATTATTAGAAATTGACGTTTGTTGATATGTCGCGTGTAAACAGACATGTAGAAACTATTGGACTGTCATTTAACTTTGCAGTATAGGAAAACATGTATATCTCATATCTCATTGGAATAGCTTCCTTAGATTTTTGAGGTTTAAAGATTGTAAACAGATTTATCCCAATCATTATATAGTCATATCACAGACAAACAGACGTAACTCTTCATTGTGTATCTTCGTTCATGCATTTAACGGTTGATTTGATTATTATCAGTTCCGCGAACTACTCGCCGCAGCGCTGGCATCGGATCACTTTGACGTTTATATATATTCTATAGAACTTTTATGCAATATTGTTCACGAGTTAGCGAGCAAGCTTGTTTTCCGCGAGAAGCCAGAGAGATGTCGTTACTGATGTTATATGTTTTGATATACTATGTTTTCAAGAACAAGTTTTTCAAAGAGTTACGTCTGCTTGTCTGTGGTCATATAGATTTGCCTTTTAAGAAATCCAACAGCAAACATTTGTTTTGGCATGATTTTCTGGGATGAACATCGCTCCCAATAAAATACATCTTACTTGATTGTTCTTTATAAATTATTGAAACAATTTTCAACGATGTTATCGTACACTCATTAAAATGATTAGTTGATATTGTTGATATTGTAAATATTGCTAACAACAATGATACTGTATTGAATAATCTTTGTTTGTTATTGTTTCATAAGATAAGGGGTTCCGGAAAAGAATGTATTGAGATTGAAAAAAAAATTATTCTACTGCAATATTTACTTTGCTGTGATTCTAATTGTAAGCCTTCTACACAGCTAATTCAGATTCCAGCCCTAGTACTCGAACTTCATGAACCAGTTCCATCAACTCATATAATTTAGTCGTTGTTTTATTGCACACAGGCGCATTAAGAAAGATTTGAACAAACGACACCACCGAAACGGAACATAAATTTGTCAGTGCTATTTGTCTTCACTCTAGCAAAACGAGCATAAAGTTGCACTACATTCCATGTCGGGAGAGCTGTTCTTACTTCATGCTAATTGAACGAGCTCAATCTTGAAGTCAGCCGTGGTCCAGTGGAATCGAGCGCAGAAACCGAAAGCATCACACCTCAACAATTCTTGATCGAATTCCAAATCAGCTACAATAAAAAAAGACACAACTGTGAAAGCTCCCACTGCCTAATGTTTATTTTTCGATTTATTTTTAGAAATCGATTAAATATATGTGTCAAAAGAAGAAGTAAATTTCATGTGATTTTCACATAAACTTTACTTCGATTGATTTATGACACATATATAATATTGTGGTGAAACGTAAAGCTTATGCTTAAGGGTTTCAAATCCATTTCAGTTAATTATTATAATTTGACTGATTTTCATTTATCATATGACGATCACATAAAAGTTACCAAATTATCAGCATTGTAAATGTATCAGATATTCATATATAATTTACCTGACACATTTTCAATCATATCATTTTCAATGGATTATCTTATAGCGCAAATTTATTAGATTTCCACATAACAGGAATATGTCAAATTGGTTCAGTGTAGTTGTCGTACTGGATGCTGGATACCCGAGCAAAGTCGGTTAACAAAATGAAAGCAAATCGATATTAAAGTGTGCAGTTCCTATCATAATGAAAACTCATTTTGATTTCAAATGTTGCGACATAAGTCTGATATCATATTGTGCTTTCATTATGCAGTCAAGACGTTTTAAATGAAAGCAACTTAACTTGAAGTTCTGCTGTTTACGTCTTGTTTAAAATTTAATTGAAATTCATCTGTCGTTGAACTAAAGATTATCGTTTATCTGATTTGTTTAACACATTTAAGGTCATTCGTGACTTGCCCGCGTTGAGATTGGAGCCTAAGTCTTTCAGCTTGAGAAACATTAATGGTAACCATTTACTCTAGGCCCGTATTCAGTTAAACATTATGAATGCAAAATCAGTAATCAAATTGATTTCATTGAAAGCAGGATTAGTTTTCCGTTTGCTTCAACAGTGTAAAATTTTGCTCTCATTTTTGCTGTGTTAACCGTTAAGTCAACCAAAATGAGATCAACTGGAGTATTCAAAATAAGTTACATCATAACAGCAAATTTTGATTTCAATTTGATCTTCAGCTTTGCTCGGGTAGCTACTTTTCTAGCTACTAGAAAATAACACGGCCATGGCGATCCAAAGATGACGATAATTGATAGACTTTGCAAAACTTGTTGAAACTTTTGACGCTGCATAAGTTGTTCAACATATCAGAGCCCAATAATTTTCAGAGCATTCCTTTGAAAACTAAAAATAGTACCGTAAAACGGAGAGAAAAGTTCATCATTGAAGTGAAGTCAATCATCATGCAGATCATTTTCTTCTTCTTAACCAACATTGGTAAATTAGTATGTTCCGAAACTTAAGCTTACTGACTTTTAACCAACATAATCAAGCAATACAACAATTTCTCATCCTAGATAAAAGGATCAGACCAGCTTGAACACACACACGCGATTCACACTGATGACTGGACCTCTTTTGTTGCAACTGGTTCCATTGGGCAAGTATGACGCCTTCATTTATTACCTACTAGCGGCTTACCTATTTCCAGAGATTCGTCATGAACAATCCGAATAAATTCACCTAAGATCTGCCCTTCTTACATAGGGAAAAGTGGGGCAAGATGCCCACCCTAACGAAACTCTAATAAAATTTAGCAAGTTCAATCAGAAAATAATTCTTTCTATAATTTTATAGAAGCTTCCAGGGTGGGCCTATAAATAAAAGCTCGATTTACCAAACAAACTATACCAACTGCTAGAGTAGCTAGAGGAATCACTCCCCCACCTGATCGTGTTGTTAGTTAGTGAGATTGAGCTTTTATTCACGAGAAATCTTGCGGCAAGACAGCTTTTGATCATGAGTAATATCGGAGTTAATTTTGAGTAACTCTGAGTAAATCGCGTTGCTAAACATCGAATACGCATTGCAACCATATATCAACAACATTTTAAATGCTTAACCGGGAAGATCTTTCGGCAATGAAAGGGCAATTGCAGCTGCCCCCTCAAAATCGATGGTAGATTGATGGTGATTTATAACGGTCTCAGTAGATATTCCGGACAAGCCTAGGGGGGATTTCAGATAATCCCACACACTTATAAATAACTACTTTTACACGAGACGTAATCTATTTTCGACGTAAATCATGGAACGTAAGCAAACATTCCATGTAAAATTAAGTGTTCTCAAACCGAAACATAAGCAACTCGACGAAGAGAACGTTTGATTGAATTGATTTTCCCGTTTCTTTCAACTGATTCTTATGTCAAAAGGGCCGCTTACATGTGTCGGTCTCATGGAACCGAAATTTACATGACTTTTTCGTAGTGTGCAGTGCGGCTTCCCAACAATATCAAAGGGGACTACGGACAATCCAAACAGGGAATATGGACTATCCCAGAGGAGGAATCTCCCTGGGACAATCCCAGGGAGGATTTCACTCAATATTGAGGGGGATTCATGGCAGTCCCAGGGGGGATTCAAAACAATCCAGTCAGTCCAAAGGGGGATTCTGGACAATCCCAGTATGAAAAAATGAGAAGTACTGGTTCTTGCATCGCTCATTGACAAACTTCAAATAAGCCAGAATAGAATCAACTATGAAGTTGGCCAGAACTAACCTATGTTGACCTGGGATGAATAAAAGACCGCATTCAACAATGTTCCATTTGTGCTAAATATGGATCATCCAAGGATCATCACAACAACACCAGGCGATGAAAATGCAACCCTTTCCTGCACACTTAGAAATAACTAATTTTACCAGTGACGGAATCCATCTTTGACATAAAAGATGAGACGTAAACAAACATGTCATGTAATATTAAGTGCTCCGAGACTGAAAAGTTCGTTGCTCAACGAAAAGTACGTTTGATTAAGCTATATTTACGCTCATTGTTCTCAAAACACATGAAGTGCTCCTAGCGAATCCCCTTTTTCTACGTTCATCCGTATGACGAAGACAATCTAATGGCGTTTCAATGCGTTAGGACGGAATTGAAACTCGTAAGACGAATTTAGAATCAAGAAGCAGTATTAGATTTTAAACAATATCTCAACAATGTGTGACTCTTTATCAAGTCCACGTAGTATGGAAAGTATGGAAAGGTGAATAAAATTCCATTTTTTATCAAACCCGTTCAAAAAAGAGAGGTAAAGCGCGGGTTGTGCTTAGTAGGACGGAAATTAGATCAAAAACCCTATCACAATTAGCAATAAATTAAATACTAACAGCCGTATATATCCCTTCTCTCTCTCTCTGTCTCTCCTTTCAGCAAGATCCATTATCACATCGAATAATAGAAAAACGGCGGCGTGATCGCATGAACTCCTGCCTGGCGGACCTGTCCCGGCTCATCCCCCAGCAGTACATGCGCAAGGGTCGTGGTCGGGTGGAGAAAACCGAAATCATCGAAATGGCGATCCGTCACCTGAAGAACCTCCAGAACCAGGAATGCGCCCGCGAGAATTCCTGTGCCGAGCAGTACCGGCTGGGCTACAACGATTGTCTGACTGAGGCGGCCAAGTTTATGCTGCGCGAGCGTGGCGAGGAGATGTGCTACCGAATGGTGGCGCATCTCAAGGAACACTGCAATGAAATCATGAAAGGTGAGGAGGGCGGTGCTTTTGATAAGGGCTAGAAGATTGTGACCAACTTATGTGTCTATGTCTGTTTGTAGGTGAAATGATCAAGTCGCGGTGCGGATCGGAGATTCCCAACGGCGGCAGTCCAGTGTATTTGCATCCAGGTCCTCTGTCACAGCTCAGGGATATGCTATCGTGTCCGTCGGATATCGAACACAGTAGCAATGACCACCACGACGTGAAGGATCTTAGTTTCCGCAGCAACACCAACAGTAACAGTAGCAATCCGCCACAGGCTGCGGTAATTACTTCAACTGCGCCCAGCAGCGTACAACATCTGGACACCTCCAGCAACCACTCAACGGTGGACTTTGAAGCGTCGTCACCTTCTCGCATTTCCACCAGCTCTACCAACGGCCAGATGCAGCACCTCTCGCAGGATACCAACAACAACATCAACGCTCAGCACGAAAGTGTCCTGCGGACGATTCGTATGCGAAAGTTCTCGGAAACATCGCCCGAACACGAACACAGTCACAATAGCTACAAATTTAAGAACTACATCCAGCAACGTTTTTCGCAGGATAATCATGGTCATGAAAATGGTCACATGACGGAAATGGAACTCAGTCCTTCGTCCATCCACGACGATCATCCGATGGCTGAAGGGCCTCCGCCGTCCGCCATCAAAGGACTGGTAAATGGGCTTGGTCCGAAGAGTAGAACTGACAGTGTTACCGTCCAGAACAACGGAAACGATGAGCCATTATCCCTGAAGCGGAAGATTTCCTCCGGAGAGCAACCTTCGCCAGTGCCGCAGGTTCGGGACGACCGAGAGGACTCCAAGAACGGCCTCACCGAAATCAAGAGTGAACACGTGGCGAGAAGCGTTTACGCCTCGTATGCCGTTCCGATCTTCGCCTGCCATACTCAAGGTTTCTATATTCCATTGAACGTAAACTATGAAAGTCTACTGCCATACCTGAACGGAATCGATCTGTTTGGCAAGAGCTATCGGCAGATGCCTCCGCTGCATCCGATAAGCATCAGCGTCAATTACGCCCCGGCCAGTCTGATCAAAGCCGCTGTCAATGGGTTGACTCCCGCCGGGAAATCCACTCTCGTCGTCGAAGCCATGGTCAATGGATGCTAGGATCGGCCCAGGGAATTACTTTGAACATTGGTTGATTGGCCCAGCAAAGTTCAATCCGCCAAATTTTAGATAGTTCTAAACAATTTGTGTTGTTTTATTTTGATTTGTACTTGTCAAACACAAAAAAAAAATGCAAACTGAAATCAACAGCAACACTTTGAAATGCATTTTTGCCATTCACGATGTGCATTTGCCCTATTTTTTCCTATAATTTATACGTAACACACGCCACCGCAATGGTTCTTGTGATCAGAACTGATTGGAATGATATAGGCATACTTAAACTATCAAATTGTTTTAAGCAAAGAAGAAAACGTCAACAATGCCATTGTTAGAAGAAGAAAACACACCTACAGCAAACAAGCATCAACGCGAAAAGGCAAAAAATTCCATTAATACTACTGCTGAAACAATAAAAAAAAAAATAGAACCAACACAGACAAAAGTCAAACAAATAAAGTAAACAAAGTATGTGTATATGTATATTTCAACTCAGGTAAACAATATTTGTAAAAAAATGAAAATAAAAAAATCTACATGCAGCATAGATAGCAAATGATTCAAAAATGTATAAAAGGAAGAAATGAAGAACACCTAGGGCGTCGTCCATAAGCTACGTAGAAAGTTTTTGATAAAATTTAGACCAACCCTCCCGCATCATGCGTAGACAGCGCTTCGTAAAAAAAAAAATGTATAGATCCCTCCTACTAAGCCGCTTACATGGTTTGTGGACAGCCCCTAGGCATCTAATCAAAAGTAAACTAGGAAGAACTGGAAATAGGGAACCAGAACAATACAATGAAGAAATCCAGTTTAATGAAAGAAAGGGATATCCATAAACCACGTAAACACTTTAATCGGTAAATGTCGACAGTTCGTATAAATTTGAAAAAAATAAATGTATAGACGATTGTATACGTAGTTTATGGGCAACGCCTTACCTAGATCATGTTCCCTTGATAGGAAATGGTTTCGTCTTATTGCATGATTGTACTACAACAGCAGCAACAACAAACGACGGCAACGACGCCGACATTACCACCACCACCACCAACCAACCCGCAATTTGAAACAATTTTTTTTTTTTTAATTTTTAATAACAAATATTATTATAATGAAATCTTTTAATCTGTGATACTGATTAACAAAACAAACAAACAAAATGGAATGCTAGTAGAACGCCTACTGCAGAGAGATGAAAAGAAAGATTGAAAGAAATTTTTTTGCGAGAAAACGTAAGCGGAAAGACGAGAAAAAAATAAACCTAGGAAGATAGCAAAACAGAATACCTTTTACTATTGTGCAGAACGAAAAAAAAAAAACAAATCAAATTAACGTCGTAAGAAATGGATTTGTATAAACCAATCAGTCGCTTTGTGTCTTGTATATTTGTAACACCGAGCATCAACAAATGAGAAAGAGGAAGATAAAGAAAAACAGTTGTTTTTTTTTAAATTAATGCGAGAAGACAAGTGCTGTACATAGTGATGAAAAATAAACCAAATAAATTGTCATAAAAAATCGTTAATTGCAGTGTTTCATTTGTGAACATATGTAGAAGAAAATTCCTTCCTGAGCGTCACACAGTGCGTTGAATGAATCCAGGACAAAAACCAAAACGCATTTTTAGGAATAATGGGAAAACTTGTTAGATATACCTACACCCATATTTTTGATTTCGTTCGAACCGTTCAAACCATACAAAATCTGAATTTGAACAAGCAAGATTGCGACCCAATTCTTACTAATCTAATCTAACACCAAGACAGCCAGTTCATGAAAGCATCCTGGAAAATGATAGATATACCTCCATCCTTTTCTTGTCTATTTGGTATATTTTGTCCATCAGAGATGCGCAAAATATATCAAAACGGCCAGGTCTACTGTGCAGCATTTAAGGGGCAAGATGATTCAGAAACATCGGGCCTGTTTAAATCAAAGATTTAAACACGATGCTTCAGAATCCAATAAATGGATGAAACGTGGACATCTCGTACCATACGTTCTGTTGTATTGTTATCTATAAATGATTGGTCGTTGGGAGCATCTAATCTAAAAAAGTTAAAGGATGCTCCATTTTCCTCGAGTGGTTGGGACATGAGCACTAGCTCTTGTCTTAGCCCTATATGGCTTATGGTTATAGGGCCAATACTCGCTTTCTGAAAAGAAAAAAGGAATAAAAGTCCGTAGGAAAAGGAAGAGGAGGAAGGAACCCTAGTTCTATCTTCCCTTGTGTAAAATCTAAAAAAAACGGGTCTATAATCAATCTACAGGAAAACTTCGCTGAAACTCACAATGACTCGCGAACTTTTCCTTTTGTGTGCTTCATTAAACCACGCAAAATTTTCCAACGCTGAACACAAACAGGTGAGAGCTAGATTTCAAGAGAGAGCAATAGAACGAAAATATATTATAAATTAAAAAAAAAAACACATATAAATTAAAATAAAGTGTAAGATCTCAGCAAGTTTCATTAATTGTGTACTCTTACTGTCCTGCTGCGCTCAAACGGCGAAAACCAGAAAAAAAGCAATAGGACGACTCTCTTGCCGAATGAACCAATTGGTAAATCTATGTTAGAACTTGGCCATAATCACTCGTTCCCAACCTTTGACAATAGCGCACTCAACATTTGATTTCTCATCAAAATACAGCACGAAAGCGGCTCTTCGAAATGATGTCTAAGACAACGTTGTAGAAACCAAAAAAGCAGAATATATAAACAGGAACGATCTCACCAAATGAACGATGGTTTGCCCGGGAAGCAAAAACTTGGAAGCCTGTTGCATCTCCTAGTTCTAGCTCAACACTTCAAACCATTCCATCGGATCTTCAAAGAAACTTTTGCACAATCCGCCTCTAATCCAATCAGAACCATCGGGCCAACTTGCCCTAATAACAGTTCTGACGAAAAGGATGCCGATAAAAAAAACCACTTTGAAATGCATTTTACCCGATCACTTGCACTTGCTTTGCACTAAAGTTCTTTTTTAGAACTATGTTATTGAGTGGCACATTTTTTCGGGCTAAAACGCGATGAAAAAATCAATGATAGAAAAAATTAAGCCTAAAATTTTCGAACCCCCAAAATTGGTCGCCACAAGGCCAACGAGCTCCTTAAATCACAGAAAAATTACGATCAAGTTCCCGTTCAACTTGCTGTCACTAGATTTCAATCCCAGCGGTGATCTTACCGACGTCGACAACAACTGCTCTTGAGAAGGATTTTATATGTAATTCCGATCAACACATTAGCGATAGCGTCATCGTTGCTGTGATAACCCGTTTTATTAATGATTAATCAACTAATAATTAGTGCTTTTAATAAGAACGTTTATTTAACGATTATCTGTTCCTCTACGTTTCTCTACAGATGTCATAGTACCGTCCGTCTGCCCAGTGGTTAGCCGTACGGCATATTGACATCCGTAGCTCAGCTTCAGCCCAGTGGCTGTGGCTACTTACGGACTGCCACATCTCCCCTTTTATATAAATTTTAGATAATCCGCTTACAGTACAAAATCTCGAAACTTGTCCGGTACTCGGCGATTGCGTCGCTCCCTCTCTGGCAAAACATCCCTCTGCTGGTCTTCTTCCTCAAATCCGTGGAAACCCATTCTGTCTTCATCATCGTCTGAATCTGACTCGATGATCTTCTGAAAAGGTACATCCTGGTCCTGGTTGCTTCCGGTTTCACCCACGTCACTTATCTTCTTCACATGAGAAACGTTACGGTCGAAAACCCGTCCATTATCTTGATCCTCGATTGTGACACGTGCCCCACTGCGATTGAGGACCTTGAACTTCGTTGGGTTAAATGTTGTGGTAAGTTTGTTACCTGGAACGAGATTCTGCATAAGAACTGTATCACCTACCTCAACTGATGATTCCGTAGCCCTTCTTCTCAAATCTTCCCTCTGTTTTTGTTTTGTTTTCAGTACTTGATCACGGTCTGTATATTCGGTGCTAACCGGTGCCGTCTCGATATCCTCCAAGGATGGAATCTTTGATCTGATAGTTCTGCCAAAACACAACTCAGTTGGCGTCTTTCCCGTTGAAGAGTGCGGTGTAGTATAGTACATAATAAGGTAATCCTGCAAATCCTGCTTCCAGTCACGGCCGAGAGCGTGGCTTATTTGTAAGCGCTTCAGCAAGGATCGGTTCTGCCGCTCAACTAAACCATTCTCCTGCGGCCAGTATGGTGTAGAATGGTTCAACGTAATCCCATGGGTGTTGCAGTACAGTTCAAATTCCTTTCCAACAAATTGCTTGGCATTGTCAAGTGTCATGGTACGTGGATATCCGAGTCGAGTGAAAATTCTATCGAGACGTCCAACGGTATCCTTAGCTGTTATTTTAACCATGATTTCTACCTCTTTATATCGACTGAAGTAGTCTAAGATGACAAGCAGGTATTCACCCGACGGAAGTGGACCCATAAAATCTATGGCCACATCCACCCATGGTTTTGTGGGCATCATTCTGCGTGACATAGGAACCGGTTTGCTAGGAAGTCCGACTAGTCGACAGCCTTCACAATTCTTGACGTATGACGTGATATCAACATCCATCCGGGGCCACCAGACTCTATCCCGCAGCCTACGCTTCATTAAAGATTCACCGGGGTGACCTTCGTGTGCAAGGTCCAGCATCCTCTTCCGCAACTGTTCCGGCACCACCAGTTTACTTCCACGCACTAACAAATCTCCGACAAGTCCAAGCTCATTCTGGAATGGTTCGAATGCCTTAACTTCCACCCTGGTCCATGATCCAGATCGCATAGCTTCAACTACCAATCGTAATTGTTGATCCCTTTCCACCGCGTTCTCTATTTCTCCAACGTCCACTGCGGCCGATTCCGTTACCGCAAGGATAAGAAACTTATTATCCTTTTCAAACTCCACCGCGTTATCTTCTTCCACCAGCCGAGAGAAAGAATCTGCGACATTGCTTGAACCCTTCCTGTATTTAACTTCGAATGTAAAGGATTGTAAGCGTAAGACCCACCGCTCTATTCTAGCACAAGGCCTCGAAGACGGCGAGAAGATTACCTCCAGAGGTTTATGGTCGGTTTCCAATTCGAATTTCCGACCAATGAGATAAACGGACAACCGCTCCACAGCCCAAACGATTGCCAGCGCTTCACGTTCAGTCTGGCAGTAACGTTTCTCCGTTGCGGTTAAGCTCTTACTAGCGTAGCATATAACCCGAGGATTTTCATCATCACTACCTTCAAACTGTACTAACACAGCGCCCAGGGCTACTGGAGACGCGTCAGTTATTACTCTCGTTCGCAGTGAGTTATCGAAGAAGTGCAGGGTTCGAATATCGCCGATTATTTCCTTCAATCTTTCGAACGACTTTTGATGACTTTCTTGCCAAACAAAATGTTTTCCCGATTGCGTCAACTCTCGTAAAGGAGCCGTTACTGTGGCTAAGTCCGGCAAGAAACGTCCGACGTACGTTACCAGTCCTAAGAAACTGCGAACTTCTTCAGCAGTCTTCGGCGCTCGAAATCTGGTCAGGGATTCTATTTTGCTTGCAGTTGGTCGTATGCCTTCCTCTGAGATAACATGTCCCAGGAATTCAATCTCCGTTGCCTTGAAAACACACTTTCTATGGTTCAAAAGCACCTCTTTTTCTCTTAGAGTTGATAGAACCTGTTGCAATGCCCTGTCATGTTCTTCTTCTGTCTGTCCGAAAATGATGATATCGTCGATATAATTGACTGTATTCTCACAACCTGCTAGAATCTGCTCTAAGGCCTTCTGGAACATTTCCGGCGCGCAGCTGACGCCGAACATCAATCGCTTAAAACGGTATAGTCCCTTGTGAGTGATGAACGTCGTTATATCTCGGCAATCCTCCTCGAGCTCTAGTTGATAGTAGGACTCCTTAATATCAAGCCGACTGAAGAACTTGGCAGCTTTGAGGCGAGGAAGAAAATCTTCGATAGTTGGCATCATGTGGTGTTCTCGTCGTATAGCTTGATTTGCGCGTCGCATATCCACGCATAGGCGAAGATCTCCGTTATCCTTCACTATCGTCACTAGCGGTGATACCCACTCGCTGGCTCCAGTGACTGGTTCAATTATATCTGTAGTCAGAAGTGCCGACAATTTGTCTTCAATACGTGAAAGCAGAGCAATAGGTGGGCGTCTGACATGTTGTACAACAGGAGTTATAGTTCTGTCGATAGGAATTCTCAATTTGACATCCTTGATTTTAGGAAAAGGCCTTTTTTCGTCTACAACCTGGTTCAAAGAAGATTGGACACTAGGTAAACCGATCGACAATACTCCTAGCTTGGTAGCAGTCAATCGCCCGAGTAAGGGTTGTGTACCTCCCTGTACTACATAAAAGCGATCGCTCCTTTCAATCCGCTTTCCGGCATCCTCAACAGAAATAACTGCTTCAAACATTCCACCTACTGCTAACGGTTCCGAATCGCGGCCATACGCACGGAAAGTTTGATCGGCTTCTTTCCAAAGTTCCTCAACTTTCACTCCATGAGTTTTCATGTACGCC